ATTTATTTTATTATTAATTTTATGTAATATTAATTTATTATTTAAAGATATTATATCTATTCTGTAATTTTAAGTACTATTAACATTGAATAAAGAATAAGTTTTAAACATAATTTCTTGTTTGCTTTTGATTTAGTTTTCTGTATAAATTTTATCTCAAATATAATATTATATCCTAACTTTTCTGTATGAATTATCCAGATATATTATATTATATAATTAGAAGGTTATATTAATCTAATTAAATTAATATATTATATAATAATTATTTATATATTTAATATGAAATTAATTTTTAAAAAAATAATTCAAATTAATAAATATAATATAAAATGTAAAATAAAGATTTAAATTAAAAGAAATATAATTTAATCAAAATTTATTATTATAAATTAAATCTAAAATCAAGTTAAAAAATAGTAAAATACTAAAAATATTAAATATAATCAAATATTTTTATATTTATTATAATCAAAAGTAAAATTAAATAAATTATAAAGAAATTTTTTTAATTTAATTACTTAATATTTAATAAATTCAAAATAATAATTTTAAAAAAAATAATAAATAAAGAATTAAAAAATATTATTAAAATATTATAAAATAATATATTAATATAAATGTTTAATTAATTAATTTATTTTTTTATATTATAATTTTTATTCTAATAAATTATAATTTATTTATATTATAATTATTAATTAATAATAATTATTAATATAAAAAATAAGAATTATTTAATTAGAATTCTAAATAAATTATAAAAATAAATTATAGCTAAGATTATTATTAAAACTTATAGTAATAACCAAAAGTAATAACTCAGAAGCTAAATTTATTAATAAAACATAGTGAAAATTAAAATTTTCTCTTATATTAAAATTTATAATTTTATTAAGAAATAATTTTTATATTAAAATAAAGTTTATCAGCTGTAATTTATCATATATTTTTTTCAGATTTTTTAGATTTTTTCTGAAAGAATTATTCTAATTGTAAAGTTAATGTAAAGATTTTTACTAATTAAAAATGAAATTTAATTAATAAAAATTTTTGCACTAACTTTATAATTAAAATAACTCTTTCAAAAAAATTTAAAAAATCTGAAAAAAATATATGTTAAATTACAACTGATAAACTTTATTTTAATATAAAAATAAAAATTATTTCTTAATAAAATTATAAATTTTAATATGGAGAAAAAATTTCAATTTTTATTAATAAATTTAGTCTCTGAGTCATTATTTTTGGTCACCACTATATAAATTTAAATAATTAATAATATAATAAGAATTATAATAAATTAATATATAATTAAATAATAAATATTCTCAATAATATTCTTAATAAATAATATAATTATAAAATTAATATATTATTTTATAAAATAAATATTGTAAAATCTTAAAAATAAAATAATTCTCTATAATATTAATTTGAACTTAAATTTTTAGAAAATTACTTATTTTTTTTAATAATATAATTTCATTCAGTCTATAAATAAAATAAAATAATTAATAAAAATAATATATTAATTAAAGAATTAAAATTAGAAAATAAATAAAATATATAATAAATTTGAAAAAATTGATTATTAAAAAAGAGTTTGTTTATTTAACTTTTTCAAGACTTTTTAATCAAAAGAAAAAGATTATTTATTTTGGAGAATTGCTTATTTTGAAATTTTATAATATTTAAATTCTGTATTCTTAATTATAATAAAATAATATTTTAAAATTTAATATTTTATAATATTTAAATTATTAAGAAAATATTATAATATTTTTAAATTTAAATAAATATAATCTAAATAAATTTACTCAAAAATTTATTTTAATATTTTTATATTTTTAAATATTTAAGATTTTTAATAATAATAATTCTTTTTTCTTAATAAAATCTAATTTTTTATAAATGAGAAAAAATTAAAAAATATTTAAATAAAATAATAAATAAAGAAAAATTCTAATGCATATGAAGTAGAATAAATAATTTTGATATAAGATTAAATAATAAAAAAATTTATAAATATTCAAAAAATAATAAGTTATTTTATCAAACTTTTTATAATTCTTACTATTTATACTTGTATATAAATGATTATTATAATTCTAATTGAAAGTTGTAATTCTACTCGCAGTTATAAAAATGAATTGAATTCTAAGTTATTGAATAATTACAACTATTATAATTCATCATATAAATTATTCAGGATCTGTCAATTTCATCAGAAGCATTAATTAAAAGAAAAAAGAATTTTTATAAGTAGTTTGTGCAACTTTTTATATTCGCATTTCTATAATTATCCAATTTTGTTTTTTCAAGAGAGTTAACTATAGAAAGCTTTGGCTTGAATTAGAAACGAATGATATATATTATAACAAAGTTCAAATAGTAATATATTTTATTAAAGCACGAACAAATAAAATTTTTTGAATTATTGTTTATTTTTGCGTGTTCAATTGATCTTGTGATCTGATTGGTTAGATAGAATACATAAAGAACTCTCCAATCATGACAGTACGTATTCGGTATATTTTCAAATTCAAAAATCATAATTAATCTTAATATAATTAGCTAAATCATGCAACGAATGAATTAAAATCAAGATCATTGCACAAATCAGTATGCAAGTTATAAATATTACCCAGATGTATTTCTTAAGCTAAAACTCTCAACGCTTACTTGAATCCTAATAATGGAAAAACGTCTTAAAGGAAACAGAGCAATGAAAAAATGCGATTATAAAACTGCACGCGAAGAATACACTGAAGGTCTCTTAGAAACACCCGAAGATCCAGCATTATGGTGTAATCGTTCATTGGCATTTTTAAAGGAAGGGTATCCTGAACTAGCACTAATGGATGCGTCGCGAGCTATTTTACTACTTGAAAAGAAAATGAACGAAACGATCACGGTGCTGACGGGTAATAGCTATAAATCTCGAGCCAATGAAACCATTAATGAAGCAAAATCAAGTGGAAAAGGAGAGTTTAAAATTATATCATTTCTAAAAGATTCGGACAATACTCAAAAATTGGTTGAGATTGGTAAAGAAAAATTATCGTGCATTTTGTCGCAGAATAAAAATTGTAAAGACAATGATGATTCCGAAAAATTTGTGCGGATGTTGTTTAAAGTTTTTTATCGACAAGCTGTCGCGTTTTCGAAATTGGAGATATGGCATAAATCGATAGAATCATGCAAAACTTTTTTAAATATGCAAAAACATATCGAAAAAGATTCAATCGAGATCAGTAATACTGATTGTCTTCAATTACTTAGTCATTGTGAAAAAAAGCATGCAGCATTTACCAAGGAGGATCCGGAATACTTCAAGTTTTATCAATATTATGGTGTGATGAATTATAAGATGGGATATCCATGGGACTGTACTCAAATAAATCGTGATTCGGAAGAACTATTCGAGGATTTAAAAATGCAGCTTGAAGTTCTTTCGGATACGAAACTTTCTTTGACTCAAGTGGAATTTGATAAATCATCTAATTCATCTTCAATGAAAATTCAGTATGGCGTTGAAGCATTACGAGATATTTCCGCGAAAAGTATTTTAATGGAAGAAACACCTTTTCTGAACGTTCATAATCGATTTATCTCTCGCTGTGATTATTGTAATTTGCTATTGATAGACCCGAAAGACAACACCATAGAATTTTATGAATGTCCTGAAACTGGATGCAAAGAAGTCTATTGTGATAGTGAGTGCTGGCAATTGGCATCTAATGAATTTCACAAACCATTATGCGGAAAAGATATAACACCCATACTAGAAATAACCCAAAGTGGCGAGGCCACAGGTTCATTAAATTTTTTATTCTTTTTGAAAATATTCGCCATTGCTAAAATTCGCGGGATATGTCCATTGGATATCGATGAACTGAAGCATTTAGTGCGTTACAGACCTATTCATGGTAAAATATTGTATCAGCATATCTGGTCTTCTATGTACATGTGCACACTCGAGATCCTGGGAATCTCTCCATTTGATGTAAGATTCGATTTTTGGGTGTACCTTGAATGCATTCATATGATACGTTGTAATGTATTTGCGGCAACAGATGACCAAGGCCGCCCCGATTGTGCATCGTGTTATTCCCTCATATCTCTCGTTAATCATGATTGTAATCCGAATGCTTTTATGATTGATCATGAATTGACAGCCGCTCGTGAAATCAAGAAAGGAGAACCAGTGACCATTTCTTATATTGGCGATGACGATAACTACGACAATTGCTCTCGACAATCTCATTTTGCTGATGTGTTTGGGTTTATATGCAAGTGTAATCGATGTGAACAACATGTGACGGTAGATGAATGACAGAATTCCAGTAAGCATTGAAAACCTACCAACAAAGGCTATGAATTAATAATAGGAAAGAATTTTCTAAAAAAAATGTAAAATGTTAAAATAAACATAAAAAACCATATCTAATTGTTTTATTGCTATAAAATTAGATTTTTAGAATGTAATAATGAAAATTATAAATATTCAAATCAGACTCAAATCACTAATCGGTCTAAAGTATAGATAAAAACATATTGGATTTTGTCAAATAAACTCAGCTGTCAGTGCTCGATCGGTCGATAGATACACGGTTGTTAAAGTATACCAGTTCAAGATTATATCCAAAATTGCATGCTGAATATTTTTTTTCTTAGTCAGGTTTTTTTCGGCACAAAAAAATTCGGATTGATCGTCATTTATCTTATCGTTATGTACCGGTACAGGCTGCCTTAAGAAGAGATCGTCATTAATATTATATATAAATTTCTTAAAGTAATGAAAGTAACTTTACCTGTATGACAACTCTTTTAACTATAAAACAACTCATTCCATCTTACTAAATAAAAAAAACCAATATTTGTTTCTTATTTTTTATCTATTTTTTCCCTAATAAAATTGTTAGAATATAAAAGAATCTTTGTTCAAAGCTACAAAATTCTCTTAAGTGATTGTCATTTATTATTATCTTATGTCTGTTAATTCATAGACAACTGCCTATATCATTAATATTATATATAAATTTCTTAAAGAAAAGTAATGAAAGTAACTTTTACCTGTATGACAACTCTTTCAATTATAAGCTAACTCATTCTATCTTAATAAATAAAAAAATTATAAATATTTATTTCTTATTTGTTATCTATTTTTTTCCTAATAAAATTATTATAATATAAAAGAATGAAATTCTAATAATATCACCATCACTATCACTATTACTATTGCCATTGTTATTACATATTAATTTTTAATCTTTTCAAGTTTTATCAATCATGATATTTAAAATAATTCAAACTCTAATGAAGAAAAAAATTACCAGTTCAAATCAGCATGAAGTATCTTTTTTTCTAATGAAAATAACTTTGATTATATTAATCTTGATAAAAATAATCTATCTGATAATGATAATGATAATGATATTATAAGTTCAATTAGTAAAAGTATAGTATCTGATAATACTGTAAATGATTATAAAGATTATAAAATTGAAATATAATTATTTATTTAAGATGAAAAAGATTTTAAAAAAGCATATGCAATAGCTAATACATGTAAAAATAAAGACTTTTCTTGAAAGAATATTGATATAAAAATTGAAAATAATAATATAAATTCAATGTTAGTGCTAGAATAATATTAGTATTAGAGCTAGAATCAGAAATAACAGAAAAAAGAGTATATTTAATTGAAAATACTAATATATCTAATTAAAGTTTAACTTTTTATATTCTTTTAAATATAATAAATAATTATATATAATATTATTTAGATAAATAGAAAGATAAAGAACTTTAGCTTAAATATGAGAAATAGATAAAGAAATATTTTTGAAAGTAAAAATGAAAATAAACTAAATTCTTTAGATATTTATTATATTTATTTTATATATAATCAAAATTTACTTTATTAATTATATAATAAAAAATTATAATCTATTAAAAAAAGTTGAATTTATTATTATAATTATTATTTTATAATAAGTATAATTCTTTTAGTTAAGAAAAAATATATATTCAATATTTAATATATAATTAATTATAATATATAAATATCTTATACTGATTTAAAAGTTTATTTAACTTTTTTTTAAAGTATTATCACAAAATAATTCTAATAATAATAAGTTAGATAAATATTAATTATATTATATATAATTAAGTATTTTAATTTAGAGAAAGATTATTTCTTTGATGTAAAAATATATTTCTTTTTTTATATAAAATAAATATAATAATAATATTATCAAAGTATTAGAACTTATAAAATATTAAATTTTAAATATTTTAAAATTGACAGAACTAGAATATAAAAAAGAATTTTTAGTAAATTTAAGTTTAATATTATTAATATTTGATAAAATAATTTTATATTATATTAAATTTCGAAGTTTTTATATATAAAAGTTATTTTAAGATTAAATTAAGTAAATATTATAAAAGTTCAAAATAAATTTTATAATTTTACTATAGAAATATTAATTAAAATTAGTAAAATATTAGAAATAGTAATATAATAATCATATAATAAGATATAAAAAAATAAAAAAAACTTGAAAATCAAATTTTTAAAAAATTATTAAGATAAATTTTCTACTTATTTATCTAAATTTTTAAGAACTAATTTATAATTTAAATAAATAGAATATTAATATTTCTTATTTTAGTTATATTAAAGATTATTTTTTCTAATATTAATATTTAATTAATATATATAATAAGTTTATTATATTACAAATCAAAATTATTCTTATCTTTATATAATATTTTTTATATAATAAATATTATATTACAGTGATTATAAAAAAAATAACAATCAAATAATATAATTTAATTTATGCAATTTTTATTTAAAAAATCTTAAAAATTAATTATATCTAGCCTATAATACAGACTTTAATTTTTAATACTTTGTTTTACACTCTTTATTATCTATAATTAACTCAAGATATTTTGATATTAATCATATTAATTTTTGACATAATTTCACATCAATTTTTTCTTACTTCTTCTCTATTATTCTAATAAAAATCTCTTGTAATATGAATTTTTTTCATAAATTATCAAGTTAATCTATTTCTTCACTCTTTTTCTCATAATTGACTATAAGTTCTCAATTGAATTGAGATCTGGTAAGTATAATAGCTAATCAAGCACATAGAAATACTTATTATTCAATAAAATAGTTGTAAGCTTAGCATAATACTTAGGATTATTATCTTATTGAAATATTTACTTGTTATCAAGAATCTGATTTGCTTGCTCAAATAAATTTTTGGTCAATATTTTATAATATAATTCACTATTCATAATTTCTACAAACATTTTAAATTCAATAATTCTCTTTATACAGAATACTTCTCATACATGCACTTTAAATAGATATTTCATAATTCCTTGAGTTGGTACTAGTAGTTTATCTTTATAATAAATCTGAACTGTATTTCAAAATATTTGAAAAATAAATTCATCAGAGAAAAATTATAGTATTTCATCATTTTTTTTAATATTTTTTCATCCAAGTAAGCTGATGTTATTTCATTAATTTCATAAGAAAAGAAATCTTTTGTGAAATACAAATCTTAAATTCAAGTTCTTGTAGATTTTATCAAATTGTTCATAATGCTATATTTAAACTAAAATAAGTATTATTAAGAGTCTTTATTATCTTCTTGCTCATTGCACTTTTTTTTAGTCATAATTTATCCAAGATTTTCCATTATTCAAGACTAAGTTTTTTTAGATAATCTGAATATCAGCCTTGCTTTAGATCATTTATTTTGGCAAGCTTAACAATCTATCTGTATAATATTTTGATAGAAAATCTAGTTATTCTTCAAAGTTTAGTGACTTTCCTATATCTATATTTCTATAATAACTTGACAAGAAAATATCTTCTTGCAAAAAAACTCATATATAATGATAATAATGATAAAAATATTTTTTATCTATCTTAAATCACATAATAAATATAACTGTAACTGATTTTAATATTACTATAATGTAAAAAAAGATCTGGTAGTATAATTTCTAAAATAAAAAGAATTATCACTTTTTTCTGTCATCTATAACAAAATTATATTAGCTATTAATAATTAGATTATATTTATCTTTTATTTCACAGATCATTACTGCATTACATACTATACTACACGTAATCTACTGTGCCACAATCACCTGATCTTGCCAAGAAAAGTCACATAGTATATTTGAGTTGTTTTAGCTATAGATAATTTCTTAGTAGAATTTCTCTTTTCTCTTGTTCTACTAATTTAGCTAGTATATTACTTGATTTATATATTTCATTTAT